TTAACATTAATTATTTTCTGAAACACAGAAATGAATGTTCCTGTTTATATTGAAAAGAATTCAGCCCATCCAAACCTTAACTCTCGAATAACGTACATGGACGCCGCCATGATGCATGTTGCTTATAATACCGGTTGTTTGTTCCCGGCGTTCGAGCGGCCGACCCACGAATAACAAATGGAGCTGTTCGTGAACATACGGGAACAAGCCGCCCAAACTCAGCCACATGCATCCAATCATGACAACGAGCTGTCGATTGGTGAAGTGAAGTCACGAGAGGGCGCAATAGAAATCTGCGCGCGCGGCATATGCTCGATCGAGTCCGCTATCGAGTTCTGCCGTCTTGGCCCAAGACTAGTGACGAAGGTGCTCTCTGCCTCCACCAACTTGACTGAGCTTAGTTCGTGCCCATCTTCTGTCGTAGCAAATGCTTTGATTGTGGTGATTTGAATAAAATTTTATTGTAAATCATGGTGGCCAACTGTGCTGCACTAATTTGCCATAGTCACAAGCAAAGACGGGAACCAGAAGGACAGCCAAGAGGAAAATACATGTATCACGAGCGTAGGCCTAGTGCTTTGAGCCGGTTTTAAGTAATTTAACGGTGATTACATTGACTTGAACAATGCCGATGATATCAGTGTGTATATCCAGTGCGTCCTCTACGAAATAAAACCTTTTATTTTTCCAACGCACAGGTGTACGGCGACGCGCGCGCTGAACAGAAACCGGAGACTTTTTTTGGAACTTATCAATAAATTTGAATATCTATTAATTAAATTTCCCGAAAAGCTCAGTCTCGAACTTGAATTAAAATATACTTACTTTGAGACATCACAACTTCAGTGGAATGGCAACTAAAATTTGTCCCATGCAGTAACGTCACGATGATGCCATCAGGTGAAGTTACGTATTTCATTATTTCAAAGTCTGACTTCGCTGGCAGTTTGCACCTAGCAATAGAGGGATGCAAAAAGCCCCCTTGAGGGTTGCGAACAGACAAAAGATCTCTAATTTCCCCCCTCACCCTGACAAAAAGATATTTGCAACCTACATGGCAGTGTCTAATGGAGTAGATGTCTGCTTGGTCTCGTCCGTTTTGTAACTTAAACGCGAATCGCAAGTTGATTCTTTATTTTGTCCATAATAAACAAACTTACAGCAGAATAACCATGGCGATATTAGAAGTATCCTGAAGATTAAAAACCTTTGAGAATCTGCATGCGAGAAATAAACATGACGTTTGTACCCCTTATATTTCATTGTGCCGCTCAGGCTTTTTGCTGCAGTGGCCATTTATGCTCAGGTATGCATACTTATGAATTTATTAATGAAAGGTCCGTAAAATTTAATGGAGAGTATCTTTTTGAAGATGCGCTGAGGGGAAATTGGGTAACGATTTGGGGTACGTTTTAAATTGTCTCCCAGGCCACTCTTTCATTTTTTGCTTAGTATTCATTTACACATATGATTTTGATTGTTTTTATTTATTTATTTATTTATTTATTTATGAAGGAGTAAATTTGAGTTGTAGGGTATCTGAACGAAGGAACTTGTAAAAATTCACTACACCCGTAGTATTTAGGTAACCGTATCATAATAGAAACTCATTTGCTAATAATTTTGTTTCCAATCAAAAGGGGCAGTGTCTGTTCATACTCCTGCAGAGATAGTTATACAGTCCAATGTCAGTTTTGGAATTGGCAGAGGTGTACCAGATATAGGTAAGTGGCAACTGAAAATAATGTGATTTGCCTGTAGTGGAAATTAGTTCAAAGGGTTTATGTTTTTTTTTTTTTTTTTAGAATAGCCCTTGTCCATTTAGTTGCATGTTCGATTCTCAATCATTTTATTAATTTTTTACAGGCGTTTCATCGATAACGTGCATTATTAAAACAGCAACCGTGTAGCAGGGCCATTTCGATTATGGAGCAAAGTGGTACAAGGAGTCACAAAAACTCCAAAGTTTTTGACTTGTACTGCATCTTCAAAAAGATTACCCCAGTTTTCCCCCATTAATATATATTCAGAAAAAGTGACCTTTTTTTCGCTCGTTTACCCTAATCGTCTGAATTTCCTCATGCCGAACACTTTTCTAAGTATTTTAGAGACATTGTTTTAAACCCTGCTCTCAATGAATGTGTGGTGGGCGAGCTTCAACTGGCAACAGACTCGGTAAATAAACCCATAACATAGTGACATTAAATATTGTGCGCTTGTACGTGGCTGTGAGATGGGACACGATCTGTCGAGCCCCAGAAGGAAAGTGTACAAACAAGGTGTGACGACACTATGTTTAGGTGTATTGGAAGCCGTGAACCCAAATTTTTTCAATGATTGATTTTTATACACAAATCATGACGGAATCCAAGAATACAACAACCTTCGCAGCCTGGGGCAAGACCGTTGTTTTTATGCAGAACTAACAAAGGTGGGTTATGTATGCAGATTAAAGAATTCGGTAATGAAGGCACAAGCAAGTGGCATCTTGGGGGCCGTTTACCTTTTGTCTACAATCATTGAAGCTCGCAGGTTCACCTATCTCAACAATGTCAGAATTATTTTCGCACGTAAATGAAATAAAGTATGAGACCCGACACCAAAACGTGCTTACTCTTCCATGAAATCAAAACAAAAATTAGATTTTGCTTTTCGACTTACTGCTTGGACTACGTGAACCAAATAAAGCAAAAGATGACAAGAGTTTGGATTAATGGCTAGAGCATCTTAATTATTCTTTTTTGTCATCCCGAAATTGTGAACGTGTCTCCTTTCTCAGCAGAGAGAGTTTATTGTTCTGAAGTTGTATTTTAGCACACAATTCTAAATTTAAATTTTGCTTTTACTGCAAAATTCTTGAAACATGACTTGCTTTTGTTTAATTTTCCTCTACTCTTTCAAAGAGGCGCCTATCCATGAAAAGGTTAGTGAAATTACCCAATAAGTCTTATGTCTTCCAACCAGCACCACGAAAAACATCCGAATTAAAGTGGTATCTAGCAATTTCGCTCTCCTAAGGGAAGCAGCATTACATCGAAAAAGAAACTTGCGTCAATTATTCATGCACAAGACCATGGACTAAAACCTTTAATTTAATAATCCACCATGCACCCCATCCCTTTAGAGCCCGCGGTTCATACTTCGTGCATAATCTGTGGGGACTGATAATCGCGCTGCGAGTTCGCAAAAAGTGAATACATTTAATCCAGCAAAACACTGCCGTTTCATGTTGACACATTTTTAGTGATTCCAGAAAGTAAGTGCATGCATAACATGCTCACTCGGTATGAAAAAAGAAATATAGGGTGTCCAACTTAAAAAGTATACAGAGAAATTACTGTCACGGCAAAATTATATGAGAAAGAGAAATGTATCTCTTAAAAGGGCAGAATGTCCTCTGTGCAATGGTATACAGCTTGTGAAATTCTCATCCTATTCCTTTCTTCTCCTGGGTGGTGGTATGGACATGGCTATGGAGGCCCAGTCTACATCAGGAGAGCTTTAGACAGAAGTCACAAGGGAGTGTGGGTGGTGAACAGGGTTGGGCGAGTCGGGCCCACCTTGCAGCACAGTTTCCCAAGCGCCTTGGTCGATGCTGGATGTTTTCAGAGAGGTCTTCAACTGATCCTTGAAGCGTCGTTTAGGGCCTCCGCGAGGCCTCTTGCTGTCGGCGGTATGGCGGGTGGTATAAGGGAGTGTAGTGGGGTGCATTCTGGATACATGGCCTGCCCAGCGGAGGCGGTGTGGAAGGATAGAAGCCTCAATGCTGGGGAGAGATGCCCGAGAGAGGACCTCGTTGTTGGTGATATTGTCCTCCCAGCTGATGCGGAGGGTTCGTAGGAGCTGCCTTTGTTGGAACCTCTCCAGACGCTTGATGTCCCGCCGATACAAGGTCGATGTCTTTCAGGCGTTCAAAAGAGTGAAGAGGACCACAGCCCAGAAGACCATGATCTGAGTTCTTATAGTGAGGCCATGATTACCAAAGACTCGACCGGTGCAAGAGCTTTTCGTACGCAGCGTGAGCCGCTGTGATCCTGTTATCATGGTCTTTTTCGCAAGTGATATTATTCAAGAGGATGCTGCCAACGTAAGGGAATTCGTCGACGACTTCTACCGACTGTCCGTGAATGCTGATTCTCACGTCTGGTGTTGCTTTCCCAGGGGTTGGTTATATGAGGATCTTCATCCTTTTAACATTATAAACCTTCATCTACAAGCGTTTGTAAGCCTCAGTGTACAGGTTTGCCGATCTCTGGAGGTTGATGACAGTTTGGTCCACAGTCGCATTATCATCACTCTGGAATTCTCGCACACGGGTGGTGGTACTGTTTTTACGAGAGCAGAGTCGAGCGAGTTGAGAGTCTGCCTTCAGATCTATATTTAATGTCAATGCTCGTGGTGTTTGGAGGGGGACCTCGTTGGTCATGGCAGCGAGGTATAGTGTAAGAGCCAGCACACAGCCCTGCTTGAGACTACTGGTGCTTGGGAAAAGGGTCCGACTGGGCGCCTTCATGGTGCACTCGGCCTCGCATTCATCTTTGAGCACACGTATTAGCGACACGAAGTGGTCCGGACAGCCAAAGTGGGCAAGGGTGGCTCACATTAAGCTGTCTTGGGACTTTGCCGAATGGCTTCTGGAGATCCCAGATGATGAGCATCAGCGGTTTCTATTGTTCACGACTCTTCTCCTGGAGCTGTTGACCACAGAAAATCATGTCGCAGTGCCACTTGAGGGTCGGAAACCACACTGGGATTCTGGGAGGATCTCCTCTGCCACGGGCAGGAATCGATTCAGGAGGATTTGCGCGAAGATCTTGACAGCTACGCTGAAGAGGGGCATGCCACAATAATTCCCACAGAGTGCGCTGTCTCCTTTCTTGAAGACTGTCACAATATTGGCATTTTTGAAGTCCTTAGGGACGGTTTTAGTTTCCCAGAATTTGTGTAACAGGAGCATTAACCTGGTCTTCAGTTTGAGGCCAGCACGAAAAAGGAATTCCAGGGGTACACTGTCGCGTCCGGGAGCTTATCCGGGTTTCATTGAACGAGGTGCTTTTTTTTCAAATTTCTGGAGAGTTGGAAGGAGTTACATCCAGTGCCGGACAGGAAGTTGGATTCTGCAGGAGATCATCCGGTATGGTTGAGTGGTTGCTAGGGAGGCTCTCTTCAGCGGTTCAGGACGGGCTCAGGATTGGTAAGGATGGTGGTATTGTCCGATTCTTTAAGGCCTACCAAACGCGATTTAGTGGGGCCAAAGATCTTCTTTGTCAACGCATAGAAGCAACGCAAGTCCTGTTGGTCATCATATTGTTGGATTTGCATCGCTTTTGCCTGCCACCAAGTGTTCTGGATTGCTCGGAGTCGTCTTTGGCAGTCTCTCGTTGCCTCCTTAAAAGTATTTTTCTTTTCGGCTGAAGGGTGAATCTCGAAGGCCACTAGCGCCTCTCGTTTTTAATTGATCAGATGGTAAATTTTTTCCCCATGCTCCTTGACCCAGTCATTGTTTTTCATCTTCTGGAACCCAAGGACTTCTTCAGCAGCTAATTATAGTATTTTACTGTTTATACGACAGCTGGACACGTGTGTGTGTGTCAGTCTAGCGCTGTACTGATAATGCCTCGTGCTCATTAGCATGTCACACCGTACTCTTCTTGACGTTTGATCCCATGGGGTGCCTATCATACAATACCACAACCCTTCCCACCTTGTTTGGTACAAGTGTAATATCTCAAACTCACTGAAGCGTACAGTGTCTCTACAATTTTGTCTTTTTTTTGAAAACTTTTCATGCAAAACAGTTTTGAAAATCGTTACCTCTGTCGAAGATTTGAAAACTTTTTTTTCTTAAATTTAACTGCTTTAACTACTAAATACATGAACAAATTAGCAAATCGAGAGAGATTGTTTCCTTCTCAGTCGTCACAGTGATAATTAAATAATACTGAATTTTACTATAATAAATGTACATGTATTGGAGGAATAAAATGTGCTAAATGTAACGAACTGAAATGCTTTGTACTTCCCGCTTTTCCCCTGAGTCTTTAGGATGTCTATTTCACACATTATCAAATGGGGAAATTTAGTTTAGGTCTCTGAAAATCTAATGCACGTTTATTGTATAAAATCCGATGAAAAGGAAAAAAGATTCTATTTGAGGTCGTTGGAGGCATCTGGTTGACATGTAACTAAATGCAGACAAATCAAGATTTTTTTTGCACAGGAATGATACTGAAATCTAGAAGCAAAACCCGGGTATGTTAAATACAGAATAATGTCCGTTTAGAGTGAGCATTTTGTTACAGAACTGGAAATTAACAAGGAAAAGCTCATAGGCCCTACACATCAAAGTTAGATTACAAGAAAATATGCTGTGTCACGTAGCAGTGAAAATCCAAATTAAAGCAATCATTCAGATGTTAACACAAAGTGGTTCAGTTTTGTCCAATAAGGTTTAATTAAGGAACAAAGTTACGCAGGTGTGCAGGTGGGTGACGACCGCGAGGTCGACTGTGACGTGGTTCATTGGTTGGAGGGGTGGTACTGTGTCCTGTGGGAGTAACAATGTCATTGTTACCATTACTGTCAGTGCCCAGTGGTGCTGTTCCTGAATGCACGTACTTTTTGAAGTAGGAGGAGTTGCGTGTAATTCTGTGCGAAACACGTTGGGCAGTGATGCACGCTTGCTCGTCGTTACGTATGGCTGAGGGATGTATGGTGACATGTA